GTGCATAGTTACTTTCATCTTACGCATAGATATGAAGTATTTAATATAAATTACGTGTTATGTGTGCATGTTATCTGTGTTCTTGATATCTATGTTGGATAAACGATTTATACATGTTTACGTGATTTAAACTGTATATGTAATTTTATACTTATAAATATATATTGGGTAGCAACGGGTGATGATAGAAAGGTGATAATGATTAGGTGATGATAGAAATGTGATGATAATTAGGAGATGATAGAAAGATTATGATAATTAGGTGATGATAAATAGGTGATGTGAGATGAGAAGAGATACCATAACCTTGACCGGCGATGTAGTCATCTACCAGAGTATAGATGGCGACCACAGACTATTCTAGACAGTCATGTGGAAACACCAGCATGCTCATAACATGTAGGTGATGAATTACGAGTTCGGGCGATGTTGTAACTACGTATTCATGTGATGATACTCTAACCCCTTACTATGAATTACGAGTTCAGGTGATGTTGTAACTACGTATTCATGCGATGATACCCTAACCCTAGGTGATGAATTACGAGTTCAGGCGATGTTGTAACTACGTATTCATGCGATGATACCCTAACCCTTACTCGACACGTATTGAGGGAGTAATCCTCGAATTAGTACTGTCTATATGATGTAGGCGATGATCCTTAGGAAAAATCCTTAGGAACAAACATATAAGGAAATGCGGTGTAAGGAGATGAGAGGTAAATACGATGCAGGAGATGACCCTTAGGATAAATCTTTAGGGAAGGTAATTAGGAATAAAGAAGATAATGGGGATGGGTAATTGGGTTAATTGTTTGATGATTAAACATAATAATTATATTATTGTGGGTTGACTCGACGAGCCGGACCTTCATGGGATTACTGAGAATCGATGGGACTCGACGAGTCGCACGAGTGCACTCGGCGAGTCTGGTCAATTTGGACTATTGACTGGAATTGACTTCTGTTGACTTTAGGGTTGGTCAAATGAGTAATGGAGGTCAGGGAAGGGTAAGATGGTCTTTTACCCATTTCTAGGGCTAAGAGTGTAAGAGAGACAAATGAGTGGTATAGTCGAGTATGGGGAGGGTATTAATTTGAGATATTATCCTTGTGATTAGGCGGAGGCTAGATCGAGGATTCCCGAGCACGAGGCTTTTACTTACTAGCTTACGAGGTGAGTCTTCTCACTATACTTACCTAGAGTGAAAACTATGTGTGACCAGAGGGTCTTATGTGCTTGCTTGAGTTGTGCATGTTTGTGTGTTATGTATTGTATGCTGTATCATTTGTTGCTTAGACCGGACCGGAGGGTCCAACGAACTATGAGGCCAGAGGGTTCTCAATCAGACCGGACCGAAGGGTCCAACGAGCTAGACCAGACCAGAGGGTCCAACGAGCTACAGGACTGAAGGGTCCCGCTGAGACACATAGACCGGAGGGTCTTACAGAGTATAGCCTCGAGGGGCTAAATTGTTGTATGTGGTATTTTGGGGAACTCACTAAGCATCCGTGCTTACCGTGTTATGTATCATGTGTTTCAGGTACCTCAGAGGATCGCGGGAAGGCACCAGCGTGATTGTGCACACACTCTTGTTATGGAGCTATGTTTGTGGATCCTGGATTTGAATAATTGTTTTGAAAACTTGTTGATTGATTTTGAGAATTAATGATGAGACATATGTTTTATGAGTTTTAAAAATAAAAAAATTTGGTTTGAAATTCGTGTCGTTACACTTTGACAAGGCCATCACCCAAAATACACTCGCACTATGTCCCGTAATGGTCGAATAAGCGTATGTTCTAGCTAAATAAGTGCTTTAGATGGACTTGAGATGTATTGGACAGATGTTCTATGAATGTACATATGTGAATCGGTAGATGGTAGTTTCCCCTTAACTTGATGATTATTGGGAATGATTGAGTTGACAACTCTTGTTGGATTTATTGTGAACCGAAAGATGTACTCTTGTGTTTGTTTTAGGCAAAGTAGTTAATGTATGAACATTTGGAGTGATTAGAGTTTCATAATCGTAAGGAGGAACAAAAAGTAGATCACGATCAATATTAAATTTAGTAACATAAATAGGTTAAGCGGGATTTTGAGAAAAGATGCTGAAGTGAAATAGTAGACTAAGAAGACCCCTCTTTTTGATTTACATTCAAACTTTCCCAAGTTATATTTATTATTCTTTATGAAGCATCAACAACCAAGAATATGAAATAATTTAACATTTGATTTTCATTTGTTCATGGCTTCATAAAGAGTAGCATTTAATATACAATCGATCAAAAGACCAGTTATGTGTAAAGCATGTACTTGTATTTGCTTCATCCCAAAAATACTATAAGACATGTAAGAAAATATAAGCATTGATTAGGCAACTTCACTGTTGGATTTTGTTTTTTCTTTCAACAACAAAATTTACATAGTAGCATAGCACTATCTTTTTGGTTGTGGGTTTGAAATAACACTCAGGTTCGGAAGACGACATTTAATAGCTGAAATTCAAACATTTACTTGCGAAATTGGTTCCTCAAGAAGAAAAGACAAAACTACCCTCATGTGAGGGGCGCGTGCTGAAGAAAACAAATAATTTTAACGTTTGTTATAATTAGGGACTAAATCGACAATGAAAAACTCTTAAATAAGGACAATTTTTGCAATTTGAAACTATTTTGGACCTTAGTAAAAAAATTACAAATAAGATGGACCAGTTTTTGCAGTTTTTTTTTTTTTTTTTTTTTTAAAGAACTATAATAAAAAATTAATGATTATTGGTAAAAAAAAACATTTCAAACAATTAATTTGAACGGCCAATATGATTATATTAGATAGAGAGAGGTTAAATATCCTACTAAATGTTCCTACTACAAGATACTCTCGTGATCATAAGAGCAATTTGGCTGGTTAATAATACGAAGGGAACCCTAATACGAAATAGATGCAAAATTTGGAATGTCGATTTAACTAAACTTTCCATATTTTCAAGTTACTTAATGCGAAAGATTCTTAATTAAAATCATGATCTTCCATAAACGGTTCGTTTGACTACGAAAGAGCACTAGGCTCCCGAACTCTTCAGTATTCATATTTCTTCTTCCTCTGAGAAATTACGAGGAGGATGTTAATCGTTTTCCGCTGGTATTAGTTCTTGGTATGCTCTTCGTCTCTTTTCTTTCTCTAGATCCAAAATACATATGCGTTTGTATAGGGTTTTAAACACACTATATGTTGATTTCCATTGTAGGTTCTTGGGTTCTCAAAGAACACTTGATTTTAGTCGTTTTCTCCGGTTCCAGTAAACAATGCCGCTTCCAAAGCAGAACTAATCTCTAGAAATTGGCGACAGCGGAACAGACGATGATGTCGGAGAGCAAGCGTTTTTAGCTGTTCTCCTTTCATGCTCTGCATTTTTTCTTCAAGTATTGTTATCCTTTCTCTAAACCAAATTAATGGAAACGAAATAATCCTCTAACGGAATTCTTCTGGTTTTGGTTTAGGAAATATGTGATCCACACTACGACCCCGACGCATTTTTGCCTTTGTGTCTTCCCCAAAACCTATTTCTATCCAACTCCAACCACAATTTCTCTTTTCCATAAACCTTTCCGCTCTCAAATCTCCTGCAAATATTCGAATCTCCTCACACTTGCTTACTCGGTAACACTGTTTCTCCCTTCTTTGATTTATTTATTTGTAGTTAATCATATTATACTAAGGTGTGCGTAATCTTGGATTCTGAATCGAATTACTCCGATTTCAGCTATGCACTTTGATTTAATGTGAAAAATCGATCACCAAATATAACTAACGATTTCGATTTTGATTTTGTCGTTTTTCACATAGGTTGCAGGATTGGTGTCGCCAGAAGAGTAAATATGGTAAGTTCTGGTGCTCTTGTTGTTTCCTGGTTATGTTTACTTTTTGGCGTTCTGTTTGCATTCTTGAGTTTTGATGTTAAACAAACGAGTAACTAATACTAATAAGGCTATACTACTCGACTACAATCCCAATTTTAAGCCTTCATTCCCTCCTATTTGCAACCCTAAATAGAAGAAAAATACGAAACCAAAAATGTGACAGATTACAGTTCCGATTTCCTGCATTTCTTATTTTCATTGACAGCTTTCATTCCTAAAAAAGACATTCTACGGACCAAAACGCCCCTAATATTTTTCTGTTTTCAATGCAGATTAGAGACAACACTTTGGACTGTTGTTATCATCATTGTGGGATATAACAACAAGAAATACTACATTGATATCATTGAATCAAAGCCTTCAAATCCAATAACCATCATTGAAACCGATTGTGAGGTAGATTTTGCTCCTCCTCTTGATTACAATGAACCAGAGAGGCCCCACCCCTATCATCCTTGCCACCTGACCAAGGTATTACTTGCATGTTTTCAAGCAGTTTTATATTTTTGATCTTATGTTATCTGATGATTTTAGGGAAAAATGTAGGAAGCAACATGCTATACTTTTTTATTTTATTTTATTTTATCAATATAGGCATTGTACTTCATTATTTATGCATATAAGCAATGTACTTATGTACTTTTTCTCATAATGGCAACATTGGTAAAAGTATGTAAGTAGGTTGGCTGTTATAGGTAAAGTGCTGTTAAGTACATTGCTATCTCGTGGGTAAAGAGAAATAGAGTAGATTGTCTATATTAATTTTTAAAACAGTAAAATACATTGCTATTTAACTGCAATTCACCCATAATTTTATATGTGAGTAATTACCATTCCTTTTGTTTTCCATTTTATCCTTTTGCAACCAGAGGAACCAAAATTCAACCACTTCCGCCTCCAATGGAAAACAACTGGCGGTGCCTGGCGGAGGTGTGCCACTGCCGCCTCCTACCGGTTCTAGCTCCCACCAAACTCAGGGAAAACTCGTGTTCAGTTCTAATGCCGCCTCTCAAAAGCAAAAGGTATATTTTATTAATAGGAATGTACTTGCACTTTGCTTACTAATATATTTTACTATTATTGGTTAAAAAATCTAGGAAGTTGCTATTGTGGGTAACAAATTAAACTAAAAGTAAATGATTAGTTAACTTTACCATTTAATATTAGGGTATTTGTGTGTTGAAGTGTCCTGTTTTTATAGGGTTAAGTTAATCTTTTGTTAAATTTTTTTTTTGTGTATAACAGGCACCAATTATTTAAAGATGAAACTCCCAAGGCTTTTGACATTTAAGTTGAGATTTGGGCATTCTTTTTTACTGATGGGTATGTTCTGCTGTTTTCAATCTTTTCCAATTTGAATAAACTCAATATTGACATTGTAAGATACAATTGAGAGTGATACCAAACTTCTGTATATTTTGTTGTGTGTTTTTAGTTCTTGTCACTTATAGTGGAGAAACTGATACTTCAGGTTTACTGAGAGATAGCAAAATACTCTCAGGTCTTATTCCAGGTTTGTTTTGTTCTACTAAACATCTTTATATTTTCTCGTGTCTTCTTCATTCTTGTTTTTGTATGATACTTTACACTGATTAGCATTTCATATCTACGCATTTTAGATTCTATTTTTTATAAAAAGCATTTTCTCTTTAAAAATCAACCCAATTATGACATTGCACTTTTTTTAGATCTTTTCTGTAACAACAATGTTACTTTCAAATTTCTTATTAAAAATCACATTTCCCTTTGAAAATCATCGCAATTAAAACCTTTGTACCTTTTTAGTTTTTTTTTTCTTTTACAACATTGTTACTTTCAAATATTTTCATATCAAGAACTTTTGTTAAAAAGTCCTTACATTATTTTCTTCTTTGGGCATTTTACTTTGAAATTTTTAACAATTATAGCATTGTACTAAGTTTTCTTATTAAAAGCACATTTTCCTTAGAATAAATATCCCATTTAAAGCTTTGCAGTTTTTTAGTTTTTTTTTTTTTTCTTTTCTGACTTTCAATTTTTTTTCAAGACATATCTTATGAAAAATCATCTCAATTAAAGCATTGCATTTTTTAATTTTTTTTTTATTATTACAACATTTTTACTTTCAAATATTCTTTTATCAAGACATTTTTTACTTATCTAGGCATTTTACTTTGAAAATTTACTAATTATAGCATTGTACTTTCAGTTTTCTTATTAAAAGACATTTTCTTTTAAAAAATCATTCCGGTTAAAGTATTGCTTTTTTTAGTTTTTTTTTCCTATTACAACATTTTTAAATTAAAATATTCTTTTATCAAAATATTTTTTAATTATCCAGGCATTTTCCTTTGAAAAGTTTACCAATTATAGCATTGTACTTTTAGTTTTTTTTTTATTAAAAGCACATATTTTTTTGAAAAATCATCCCATCTAAAGCATTGTATTTATTTAATTTTTGTTTACCAATACAACATTTTTACTTTCAAATATTCTTTTATCAAAGACATTTTATACAAAATCTTCACATTTTTTACTTATCTATTCTAGGCATTTTACTTTGAAAATTTTATCAATTATAGCATTGTAATTTCAGTTTTCTTATTACAAGTACATTTCTTTTGAAAAATTATCCTATTTAAAGCATTACATTTTTAAAAAATATACTTATCTAGGCATTTTACTATGAAAAAGTTACCAAATATAGCACTGTACTTTCATTGTTCTTATTAAAAGCACATTTCTTTTGAAAAACCATCCCAATTAAAGCATTGCATTTTTTTAGTTTTTTTTTTAACTATTTCAACATTTTAACTTTCAAATATTCTTTTATCAAGACATTTCTTTACAAAAATCTTCACATTTTTCACTTATGTAGGCATTTTACTTTGAAAATTTTACCAATTATAGCATTGTACTGTAAGTTTTCTTTTTAAAAGCACATTTACTTTGAAAAATCATCCCAATCAAAGCTTTGCTCCTTTTTAGAAACATAGTTACTTTCAAAATTTTTGATCAAGACATTTTATTAAAATATTTATAAATGTTTTACAACTATGCATTTTAATTTGAAAAATTTACCAATTATAGCATCGTACTTTCAGTTTTCTTTTTAAAAGCACATTTTTTTTTGAAAAATAATCCCAAATATAGCATTGAATTTTTTTAGTTTTTTTCCTATTAAAAGTTAATTTCAAATATTATTTTATCAAGACATTTTATTAAAAAGTCTTTACATCTTTTACTTATCTGGGCATTTTACTTTGAAAATTTTACCAATTACAGTGTTGTACAGTTTTCTTATTGCATTTTTTTACTTTTCAAGACATTTTTTACAAAAATCTTTGCATTTTTTTTACTTATATAGGCATTTTACTTAGAAAAAATTTACCAATTATAGCATTGTACTTTCAATTTTTTCTATTAAAAGCACATTTTGTTTGAAAAATCATCCCCAATTAAAGCCTTGAAGTTTTTTTAGTATTACATTATTTTTACTTGCATTTATCAAAGACATTGTTTACTACAAAAATCTTTACATTTTTATTTATCTATCTAGGCATCTTTTTTTAAAAATGTTCCCGATTATAGCATTGTACATTAAATTTTTCTTATTAAAACACATTTCTTTTGAAAAAGTATCCCAATTAAAGCATTGCACTTTTTTAGTTTTTTTTTACTCTGTCATCATTTTTACTTGCAAATATTCTTTTTTCAGAACATTTTTTACAAAAATCAAACATTTTTTAGGCATTTTACTTTGAAAAATTTACCAATTTTAGCTTTGTACTTACAGTTTTTATTTATTTATATATTTAGTTATTAAAAGCACATATCTTTTATAAAATCATACTACTTAAAGCTTTGCATTTTTTTTAGTTTTTTTTACTCTTTCATCATTTTTACTTGCAAATATTCTTTTATCAGAACATTTTTTTAGGTATTTTACTTTGAAAAATTTACCAATTATAGCTTTGTACAGTTT